TGAAATGAATATGCATTTTGGAAACTATAGGTAAAAATGAGAGTAGCTGGAGAACAGTACATCTGTATAAAGTGTATTACTGATGATGGGACCAGGTGACCTGTAAGAAGTGGTCTCTTGGAAGAGATGATTACATCCTGATGTAATTCCATCGCTTAAGCCTTGCAGGAAGTCCCTGTGGGGATGGAGACACTGAAACTCACTGCTGATAAATCTCAGAATTTTTTCCTTTTACTAAACCATTCGCTCAGGCGGTCCTTCGTACCTGAATTTACGTCAGCCAGAGGTGTATTTTTTAGCACATTCAGTTTAGAATATTTCTCGTTTGTTTAACTTCGTTTTTTCTTTTCATCTTCAGGTGGGAGATTATGCCTGAATTTCCCCAAGAGAGAAGTTCCATCAGTTTAGTCAGCCTAAGTGGAGCTTTGTATGCTATTGGAGGCTTTGCAATGATTCAGCTTGAATCTAAAGAATTTGCACCCAGTGAAGTCACTGACATATGGAAGTAAGTTTAATTTTAATCATGCTTTCCTGGTGGAAAGCCATATCTACAATCGAGGTTTGTAGACACCGGAGGGTAAAAATAGTTTTCTGTTTAACTGTGGAAATGAACCGTAGTACAGGTTGTAAAGCCGTTGTTGACAGATAGAAACGTTTGTCAGAAAGTACAAATAAACATGAGACTTGGATCTAACGACTACTGCCACCTACTAATAATGTGAACAGTCTGAGGCATGATCTTCAGATTCTTTTCCTCTTTAAAAGAGTAAGTTGCCGTATCTCTTGGTGGGCTTAGCCTTGTAACTGTACCATAAAAACATTCTCTGTTTCATGACATTCTTACGGAGAAAAGCCTGTAGACACAGAGTATTCATGTGTTAACAGTCAAATGAGTAATTGTTCCAAGAGAATCAGAAATCCCTATCTATCTCCTAGATTTTTTTTTTTTTTAATCTAAATCACGGTAGCAGTGATGAAACATCACATCTCTGCTGTGACTCTTCCATTGCTAAGGTAAATTCAGGAGTTTTAACTGGCAGAAGGATAGGAAGGATTCCCAGAAAAAACAGCTTTATATGTAAGAAGCTGAAGGAATTCAGAAGGGATACTTAAGACAAGGAGAAAGCTTTTATAGGAGTAATTAAAGTGTGACATAGGCCAGCAACAAGCTTTAGGGACCAGCAAAAGGACAACTGTGCAAGAACACCTTTCTGTTCCGGAGGAGAAAAGCAGCCTTTTGTGGCATCCTTCAGCACATGGATGCCACAAGCGTTTGCAACATGTGGACTATCCTCCTCCTCATGCATGTGTGATGAAGTATCAAACTAAAATTTTAAGAAGCTATGTTCTGACCTTGTTTTGTTAAATGCAGGTATGATGATGAAAAGAAGGAATGGATTGGCATACTGAAAGAGATCCGATATGCTACTGGAGCCTCCTGCCTGGCTACACGCTTAAACCTCTTCAAGTTATCCAAACTGTAAACAAAATGCTGGACAATGTGACATGGTGAGGGAGTTTCGATAGGCTCTTCTGGTTTTGTTGCATGAAAATGTCCCCAAATTGTACAGAGTTTTGTAGCAGCATACTAGTTATACTGCTACCTGTTAAACAGTTCATCTGTCTGTCCAAGTCTTAAGATATTTACTAGCTAACCAACAACAACTAAATTTTTGCCAATGTTTAAAATCCTGAAGAATTCTAATTAACGTTGATTAGAATAAATGAAGATTTCAGAGAGAACTCCATTTTTCACTCTCTGAAATTGCCAATTAAGCTAGTTAGACTTCCTTACACTCAGACAATCCAGGATATTGGTGGCTTATCCTCCAAACAATGCCCATGAATTAAGTTAAATACAACTAGTAGGTTGCTAATTTTATTCTGACTGGCTGTTTGTACAGCCTGATTTCCCCCTTCAACAATGTATGTAAATCCTGCCTTCTTCAGCCATATTTTGAAAATATTTTCATTAGAGCCTTCTAAAACTAATTTAGCCTGGAATTGAAGGGCATATTGAAAACAAAAGTGGCCTAATACTATATGGCCTAAGAAATGCCAATCTCAGCCAAAGCTGTACTAGTAGCCAGACTTGAGGAAAGAGAGAGAAGTTCACGAGGTTAATAGCTCTACTGTTTCACCTACTATGTTTAGGCTTCTGGTACCAAGGATTTTCCACTTTTTTTTATGCTTTTATATTTATTTCCAAAGCAAATATTTAATGGAAGTTTTTCTCAGAGATGTGAGGCCATTAGAAGCATTCATGAAAAAGTCCTAGAAGAGTTGATCATCACCAAGTACCTCTGGCAGAGAGGACTTTTCTATCTAATAGCGTTGATGCATTTTGATGTTGAAACTTTTAACAATTAAAGTTTGTTTTTAAAACTACAACAGTATCACTTGATGGTGTCTCTTTTAGCGATCAGCTCATCAGCATTATCGCATCGACAGGACACAGATTTCTTAGTACAGCCTTTGCCCAAAACAGAGCACTCACTTTTCTTAAAGTAGAGCATGCCCACCATTTTTACAGAGTATCTATCTCCTCAAAGGATTTCTCCATTGAATAAAGAGGGCGTCTCAAATCTAAAGGATGTCATAAATCTAATGTAGCAAGAAAACTGGAAAAGCAGCCCACCACACCTGACTAAATTGACCCCTTGCATTGCCTTCCTAGGAGACAGAGGTAGACATATGGCAAAGGCACAGCCAACATAGCTCATTTCGGTATGCTACTGTACACTGGTACTTAATCTGTGGGACATCTTTTTCTGTTTTTGCCGTTAGTGCCCAAACCTTCAGCTGTTCTTAGCATCTCTTCATTGGCTTCAGTTAAATCACTGGTTTACACCAGCCCATCTGCTCTAACACTTACTGATTTAATTTAGAAAGAATGACTGCAAAGGATCAAAAGCAGCAGATTTTACTGAAATACTCTTATATTTTGCTTTTCTTAGATGCCCTTTCCGAATCAACTCATAGCAAGTTTTAATTCTCTTCCCATTGCGCATACTTGTAACTTTATCCATACAGAACTCGAAGATACCTGGCTTGGCACAGAGTGGCTGCCGGGTACCTCAGAAGCAGGGTTCAGCTCAAACACGACCACCCATGACTGACCGCTTCAGCTACAGCCACTGCCACCTTTCTTACGCTCCAGGGTTGCTACATGAAGGCCATCTGTACAGAAGCAGGGTCACGTAACAGCCCTCTGACTTGTAGCCCAACTTCTGAGATCCTAACCTATATTTATGATTGTTTTCTCCATTTTATACACAATACAACGTGCGTATAGTCTTTCTACGTGCTGTGCCTTCAATGACATTTCCTCAAAGCACTTGCCTTCTACGTCTCGGAGCCCTTGTCCATTTGACACCATAAGCACACAGCCATCTACTCGTTTTTTCAGTCATCCCACAAACACGAGGGTACCTCAGGAGGAAAGCATCTTGCAGCTTGGATCCGTTCTGTCACTTTTTCCTGGCTTTTCATTAGTGTCCTGATTTGTATTCAGTCAATGAAAATATTTTCTTCTACTACTGAGTAGTAAAAAAAAATAAAATAGTGACAGCCAGGTGCATAATGGTCAATTCAGAAATGCAGTTGCTTACCTCTGCCAGGTTTCAAAGGAAGTGGCAAAAAGAATTATTACTTCTACTAAAAAGGCAAGAAAACATATACACAGTGTGTGTGTGACAGAGATGGGCACAGCTAGCAGTCGTCATGAGGTAATGGCGGCTGCAGTCACAACATGGCTGCCTCCGAAAACGGGCCGATTTGCAGAAGTATGACCACTCTACAGTTACTGCTCTACAATGAACGTCCTCCTGGCTAGTCCACTTTTTCCTTCTGCATCTCGGTATCCCGTGCCTCCTAACACAAACCCTGGCTGAGCGCAATCACAGGAAGCCTGGTGACTGGCAGATGGTTTTGAAACATGATAAATAAACCAGCAATGTTTGTCACCACCAGTAACCAAGGTGGTTGTCACTCTCTGAAGATTCTTCTTGGTCTTGATTCTTGGTTTCAGTTTGCAGCCTAATTTTGCTCTTTTGTACACTGTCTTCTTTACAGAACAGGCAGGTTACATGGTTGGTCTAATTTTGTTTTATTTCTGTTAGCAAGGGCTAGTCCAATGCATAATGCCGTAATAATAAATTTCATGAATTATCCAGTTGCTACTAAGTGCCTGTGTCTCACAGAAGCACTGTTTTCTCCTCATCTTGTATAAATCTTTCAGGTATCCCTTCCAAGTTGCATTTAACTGGAGTACAGGTGTTTCAAAGGTCCGGGTGGCTGCCAGACCTCTAGAACTAGTCTCTCTCTTAAGCCTGTGAAGGTGTTCCAGAAGGCTCAAGCCACGCTGCTTCTGCACATGCCACATCACAGGGTAGGAGAAGCAGCTGGAGGTTCCTCATTGCACAACACCCTCCCCTGACAGTCACCCACAGTTCCTCTGTTCTGGAAGACGGAACCAGAATGGCTGTAATAGCAGTCCTATTCTTAGTAAATCTGCATTTCAGTTTCTTGGTTTCACAGTACAGATACTGTTTGATCCCTATTGCTCATTCTGTCACATGCTGGAGGACAGACATAGTTTCCAGGAGATCTGCTGCCTCCTCTCTCACAGTCAAGAGTATTTCCGACTTTTTATTTGGACAGTTTTATGTCTGGCTAAGCCTCTGCGCTATTTATTTAGGAGATGATAATGTAGTTTTATGGCAGAACCGTCACAGACTCATGTACTTAAAGAATAGCTTCCAGGTAATGGGAGATTTTAAGCATCCTTATCACATCATCGTGGCCCATTGTGACCTGCCTTTTGCGATCCCTAACAAACTGAGGATTAAATCTCTTGACACCTGATGCCCCATGGCAAGCCTTGGTCCAGCTGGCTCACAGATAAAGAGATTTTTAAAATGAAGTATTCCAGGATTACAAGAACTTTAATGGTACATAAAGTGTTTGTATAAAAAGTACTTTCGACTGCATGTCTGACATCACTGTATGCCATACAGATGCTTTCTCAGATATTCTAGCTGTTCACCTTTTGTTGACAGAACCATAGAATTCCATTCGAAGTGAGGAATCTGTAGAACAGAATCGTACAACCTGAGTGTTAACGCTGGTATAAGCCACATACCATCTTACAGCAAAGAAAAGGCTCTCTGATATCTGTTGTTCTCCACTTGAATATATTTTATCCCCTGTATCCTTCTAAAACCTAGGCTTATTCTAATACTGAGAAGATTAATTTCTCAATGTATGATTCTTCTTCACGTAAGTAGAGTCAGTTTGCTTCCAAAAAGCAGCACAGTTGCAGAGGGGTAAAGCAGATGCCCACGCAATACAGGCTATGACAACTCCATTACACCATCTCCCACCTTTTGCAACCCAAATCGAGAGAAAAATCCCAAGTCACTATAGTTTGTCATGTTAATATATCAAACTGGAAAGGTGTATCAGTAGCATAACACTTCCTGTCAGGGCAATATGAGAAAGGATGATTATCCTGTTAAAAAAAAAAAACAAAACCACCCAAACTTAAGCTTAAAGAAGGATTTTAGCTAAAATTAGAGTAGATGAGTAATTATATATACAGGAGAATCTGCATTCATGAGCCTCCATTACCCAAATGTTTCTATGCTGCTGGCTGTGAACTATCTCTGGCCACTATTCTGCCCTGTCACAGCACTATCACTGCAGCAGACAGACAGCATCCATACCCCATCTTGCAGCTGCCGCTGCTGTCTCTCTGTCACTCAAAGAGGACATGTTCAATCTTTTTCTAGTGTAGAAATCTTTGGTAAATTGAACTGAAACTCTTGTTTCACTTTTTCTCCTTTACTCAGGCTACACTGAGATTGCTAGTTTGCCTGTAGTAAAGTAAGACTGAGACCTTTTGACTTCAGTTTTGCTGTAGCCGCTTTCAGAAAAGGTGCAAGTTCTATGAAGTCCTTACATCATCTTGAGAACAGCTTGGAATTTCCCCCCTAAATGCAAAAATTGCTGTCACCCAATAGGTGCTTTTAACTATTAAAACTTTAAATCTGTTGCAAGGAAAAGGTATCAATCTGCACTATCAATACAACTCAGAAAGGACATAAAATATTGCTGACTGCTCACCTGAACTACCCGGTACCCCAGCATTTCCAGGTGTCGTTTTTTCACTGCAGGTTCTCCTTTCAGGTGACGTGAATCTTTGCTAAAAGCTTTTGAATCAAGAAATTCCAAAGCAATTCTGCAAACAACAAAAATGTGCATTTAGATGCTGGAGCGTGTCCAAAGAAGGGCAACGAAGTTGGTGAAGGGTCTAGAGCACAAGTCATACGAGGAGCGGCTGAGGGAGCTGGGGTTGTTTAGTCTGGAGAAAAGGAAGCTGAAGGGAGACCTTATTGCTCTCTACAACTACCTGAAAGGAGGTTGTAGCAAGGTGGGGGTCGGTCTCTTCTCCCTAGTAACGAGTGATAGAACAAGAGGAAACGGCCTCAAGCTGCGCCAGGGGAGGTTTAGGTTGGATATTAAGAAAAATTTCTTCACCAAAAGGGTAGTCAGGCACTGGACCAGGCTGCCCAGGGAAGTGGTTGAGTCCCTATCCCTGGAGATATTTAAAAGACGGGTAGATGTGGTACTTAGGGCCGTGGTTTTAGTGGTGGACTTGGCAGTGCTAGGTTAATAGTTGGACTTGATGATCTTAAGGGTCTTTTCCAACCTAACCAATTCTATGATTCTACTTTCAGGTCCTACCTGAATAGCAAGAAGTGGTATTTCTAGCTCAGTATCGATAGTTGCAGCAAGACTATTACTAGATAAACCTGACAATTCATAGAAAAAGAAAATTAAACAACTCCCCGAAACTAGATAAAACATTTTCCTCATATTTACCTAGAGATACTTGAACTTCATATGATTGAGAAAAAGCATTTCCTCCCTGCATCTGTTTTTGTTCAAATGGCAAAAACAGCTAACCAGCATTTTCAAGGCTTACAGTTGAAGAGGTGGGAGGAAAACAGTATTCCAATCTCATGAACCACATTTCAAGAATACCCTGTCTGCCCTAGTGTACTGGGTCTGGCTGGGATGGAGTTACTTTTCTTCACAGCAGCCCGTATGGTGCTGTGGTTTGGATCCGTGACCAAAACAGCGTTGGTAACATGCCAACATTTTAGCTATTGCTGAAGAGTGCTTGCACAGCATCAAGGCCTTCCCTGTTTCTCACTCTGCACCCACAGTGTATAGGCTGGTGTTGGGAAGAGGTTGGGAGGAGACACAGCTGGAATCTCAACTGGCCAAAGCGATATTCCAAACCATGTAACATCATGCCCAGCAATAAAATGGGGCCGAGTTTTTCCAAAGTAGCCATTGCTCTGGCATTGGTCTGCTGGTGGTGAGTGACTGCATTTGCATCAATTGTTTTCTTTTCCCTTTTTGTTTGTGTTTTTTTGTTTTTTTTTTTCCCCTTCTTTCTTCTCTTCACTTATTAAACTGTCCTAATTGCAACCCAGGAGGTTTTTTTTCCTCGTTTTTGCCCTCCAGATTCTCTCCCCCATCACACTGCAGGGGAGTGAGCGAGCAACCGGGTGGGAGCTTAGTTGCCGGCTGGGGTCAACCCACCACACCTAGGAAGGTTAAACCTCATAAAGCTTTGGAAAAAGGAACAGAAAAATAAACAGGCTAGGGGTTGCAACAACTGTTTAGGACACAAGCATCAAAAACCTGGTCTAAACTTGATTTAAACTTGGAAGCTTTGAAAAGCTAATGTGCAAGAATTCAATGTTCTAACCTCTCAGCTCCTGGTGGCAGAGCCTTTCTCCCTTCATCCTTGATGTCATGTCTCAAGTGTGTTCTCTCCACATCATCCAAAGGTATACTCTGAGCCATATAGGAAAGAGGCTTTTTATTTTCATCCAGAATGCACTCAAAATCTGCGAGAAAACACAACAAACCTGTTTACTGACCAAAAAAAAGTGAAATAATTTGATCTGTACAGTGTTTACTTCTAGAAAAACTAAGTGATAACCATAATTAGAGATACCCAAAATTATTTATATTACGCAGAACTTTCTAGAAACTGTATTTTACAAAGCAATTTCTTCTTTGCAGTACCTTGTGGCCACATGCCGAGGGGCTTCCTAATCTTGGCAATAATAGTGATATCAGAGGTCTCCTTAACAATCGTTAGAGGATTAACTTCTTACCTATTTCATAGTAGTATGGTGTGAGAACAGATATTCTTGCATAATGGCTCCCTCCTAAGATCTCTGTCAGCATTCTGTGAACATGCTGTCGCAATGGATTTATTCGGCTACTGCCTACAAAGACAAAATAAAGAATTCATACATCAAAACTTCCACAGCCAAAGTTTTGAAAATAGCACTTTGTGACACTGCATTTTTGACAGCCAGCCTACTGAATTAAAGCTTTCCCACAGATCCCTGGTGTTATTCCATCATAATTCAGAGACTGTGTGATCATCTTTTGCGTGGAAAGTGGCAGGTGCCTATTAAGCATGAATTTCATACCCAGACTTTCCATCCCAGGATTTTTCCCATTCACATACTACAAACACTTTAGTTTCAGGTTTCATCTGTTGGATTTTGTTTGCTTTTAATCATGCTTAGTCACTTAAATAAGTATTTACTTATTTTGCATCTATTACAGGCACACCACAGTATCTGTCACTTCTCTGTCTGCTCTGCTGCAGATTGTTTAATACTTTGCTCCATTAAATATCTCCAGTTTCAGAAATAAAGCAGTTGGGTTTGTTAGATAGCAAAGCAGATCTCCCCCATGAGAATTAGTGGTGGAGATACTGAGTTTGCATTAGCTGGATTTTCTGATCCGATCACTATTCTGAAAGATCTCAGCTGCTACACTTGATGACTAGCCTGTTTCTCCACCTCTCATCCTGGATGGACCTCGATTCTTCTGAGGAAGATGACAGCAGTGAGTTCAAAAGGAGGCAGCAAAAATGTTCACCTTGAAAAATTTAAGTCAAATCTTCAGTCTTGTAAGTGAAGCAGGGATCAAAGTGACCCATATCCTCCAGCAGGCAATCCTAATGATCCTCTTCCTGCCTCTCCATCCTCCGTGCCATATACACTGTTTCTGTGTATTTAAATTTATTTCTTATGAAGAAATATCCCATCTCTATTACATTAATTCTCACGGGGAAAACTGCTTTGCTATCTGTCGCACTATTAAGCAGTTGCACTTTTCAAGAACACATCCTCAGCAGATAGAGGCGTGCGCCTTTCTGAGCTTCTATTGTGTGCTAGTGTCAACATGACAGTTTTAGAAAAAGCGTCTAGCAGACTGTTGAAAATACTAGTAACAAGGGCAGCTTTTCCTCTCCAAAATTACTTACTGTTACGAAAGGCACGTTGGCAGTAGCGCTCGTGAAACCAAGGGATGTGAAACTCCGGGCATTCGAGACAGACTGCTCTGTTCAATTTCATGAGGTTCGAGCGGACCCTCCGCTTTAGGGTATCAGGCAGGACTGAGTTAAACAAAATAAAAAGGTGTGAAGTGAAATGTTGAAAGTCCAACACATTGAACTAAATGGATACCTCTGAATTCTTTACTAGAGATGCAAAGATCTGTATACTATGGCATTTATAAAATTAATGCTTAGAAAGTTCTCAAAATCCCTGAGGAAAAAATGAAAAATAAAAGTTTTGCTTAACATTAAGAACAACAGCAAGACAGAAGAAAGAAGCAATTTAAACTCTCTTCTATCATTTAACTTTTAATGAAGTGGCTGAAGGCAAAATGGCAACAGTACATTGATAGCGAACAACATACAGGTAGAGAGGAAGGAAACAGTCAGACAAACACACGGTCTCTTATTTAGAGAGAAGAGACTGGTAGGAACTCATTTCTTGCAGACAAGAATTCCACATTATTTCTTGAGCTTTGTGCCTATTTCTAGTAATAAATACCACACTCAGGTGATTTTATTTCCAGTAAAATTGAAGAATTATTAAATACTGAGTGCAATAAGTTGACTATAAGATTTGTTTTAAATGAGCTTCTCTCATCTGTAATACAAGTCTGTACTTTTAAAACAAAGCACAAATTTTTGTTTATTCCTTCCCTTTTAGCACTCAAATAATGACTAGATTATATAGAGGGGTCTTTCCAGAAAACTGAATCGTTTAAAGAGTAATTCTACTTCTTAAGTCATATATAGGCCCATAATTCCATTTTATGCCAAATGCTACGTAATCAAATTCACCAGAGAGCTAGATATCTACCTTCAAGTTGAGCATCCAATTTGCTTAGGAAAGAAACATTAAATATCCTCGTTATCAGAACTGGAGGAAAATACCCAGCCACTGCCAAAACATGACCAAGCAGCACCAAGTGGTGAGTTTCAAAACAACCTTTAAAAACCAGACAGAAATCCATATTAACACATGACATGAAGTTGAAAGGATTTGCAATGCCCTCCCCTGACCTCCCAAATCATCCATGTTTCTCTCTTAATGTACTAAATGAACACACAGACAGATTAAGGACTACCTCTGCTAACTGCACCAAGGCGTAAGGTAACTCTTGCCAGGTCTTTGCAGGAGGAAACTAGTTAGTCTTAAAAAAAGGTAACTTTACACTATTTCACTAGACAGCAAATTTTCACAGTTCTGTGAGGTTGTATCATCAATCAATCAAAAAAAAAAAAAAGGCTCTACAAATTTCCTCTACAACTTAGCCGTTTCTTTGTGATGAATCATAAAACACATCCTGTCCCCAAATGATGATTCCTTGGGGAACGCCACAACAATTCTATCCAACAGCACAGAGAATTAATTAGAATTTTCACTTGCTTTTTACTACGCTCAAGATACCTTGCTAGTCTCTTGCTAGTCCACAGTAATTTTGAAAGGGTGAAATGAAGCTAGAAAGCCCAACATCAAATCTTTGTTATGGTTCAACCCCAGTAGGCAGAGTATTAGTAGTAACATACAGACACACTTTTTTCTTTGCTTAAAAAAAATGCCATTCTATTCCCATTCAGTACAAATAATATTTTCCAATGATACTCATTTATTTGGTGACAGAATATCTTTGTCTAATGCACTTACTCAAGTTAGAAGTAAGATGTTGGATACATCTCTCAAAGAACTCTTCATTGGCAGGAGGGTCATAATTCAGAGCAGAGAAAAGGAAGAGAATAAAATAGATTTCAAAGGGGTGGATCTGGAAAAAAGACATCCTAAATTAAGCCACTGCAAAATATCCTAATATTGCTTTACAGTAAAAAAGGGGTTTATAATTCATTCAGAATTGGGAGATTTAAGACTAGGTGAGCTATTTTCTAAATTTTTTTTTGTCAACTTTTCCTGGAGAAAAATATTAAAACAATAAAATGCAGAAATCATTAAAATTGCAGCTATGGCTAAAACTTAAAATCTATTTCATGTAGACGATCCAGCTGTTCCTGTATACTTAGACTTTAAGCAGCTTTTAAAAAGGTTTCCCATTAAATGCTCTTAAAGAAACTGAACTGTCATAGAATAAAATCAAAGGCCTATATAAATACCAGATTGAGAAGGATGGGGGAAAAAAAAAAACCAAAAACAGCAAGAAAACACAGTAATTTTGACCAAAAAGACAGGCTATCGGGGAAATCCCCACAAGAATGAGTAATGTAAAAATATACACTGTGTGATGTGGCTATTTGTAAAGAAGTTAAAAAAAAACCAACTTATTTTAGATGGTCAAATGTAAAGCTGAATGCAAAGGATTATGGTTGACCTAACACTAACTGACTGAACAATAAAATAAGAAAGGAAAAATAAAGAGAAGTAAGTGCAAAATAATATACATGGAAGCAAAACAGCTTTGAGTGACCATAGAAAAAGATGAGCTCCAAATCAGGTACACTGAAGAAAACTCTTAGAAACACAGTATGGATTGTGCTCTGAAACACATTAACTACTAACCTGTCCTTTCTTACCGAATAACTTACACAGTCGATAGAAAGAAAAACTGCAATACCTTGCCTATATTTTCAACAGTCACAGAAGCTATTCTGTCAAGTAATGAAGGACAACGGTGGTTTGTTTTTATGAGAAAAAAAGACAACTGTAATACATTTGCCCCTGTTATTTGGTTTATCAAGCGTTGACACATGGCCATAGTTTCCTCACTGAGGACTTCTTCAAACCACTCTCCATTGACACGTGTAAGTTCTTCCAACAGGAGATTTAAGTTGTTGGCTTTCTGAAGCCTCTGAAATCCAGAGTCATTTAGTTTTTGCAGAAGCTTTATACATAGCTCAGAACTGTTTTGCCAGTTCAACTGGTCATAATGATTCCATTTGACAAGAGCTGTAGCAATGCAATTCAAATGATGGAGCCTGCATTGAGGCAGAGCTGCTGCTGCCTTGTTTATAATGATTTCTTCCACTTGAAAGGAAGGAAGCATGGCCAGAACACGAATTATTGCAGCGGTATCAGAAGGTATGACACTAGATTTTAAAAAGCTGGAAGAGAGACAGAAATAAAAACAGACTATCAGTACTGACAAAGTGCAAATGTTTAAAAAAAAAAACAAATAAGTTACATGCATGAAAATTCTATTTTAAAAGTCAAAAGCTGCACATCAAATATAAAATAACTAGAACATTAATGACATGGTAGAAATTCACACAGTTACTGACTACCATCTTTTTTCATTGAAATTAACTTCTTCCTTCTAATATATTCAAAGTTGAAAAAGGGAAGAAGACAGGGAGCATCTCAGTCAGCTGGTGAGGCTTCAAGTGTTACTGATAAACACAGAAGTCCTTAAGTAAGGGCAGAAGGTCCACCTTTGTTAATGCAGTCTGTGGGTTGCTGGGCATGGATAATTTCTGTGATTTCTGTCCCAGGGAGCATCGGGTTCTGAGCTGCCTGAGGAAGAGGAAGGCATCATCCACAAAAAACGTACAGCCAGGGTACTGCATTCCCACAGAGGCTGAGCAATGGAAGCAGCAGTAGCAGACCTCTTCTCCCACAATTCCAGAAATGGTTTCTCTTTCTATGTTGCAACTGTACAAGCCTGAGAACTAACTAGACAGTTCTTCAATCAAAAGAAGAGTACTTCTGCCTCACACTTTCACTTGTCCCAAGCATGGCATTCTTAATGTACATTTTTCATTACTTGTTCCTTTAAACATCAAAGACGACATTAATACCTACCCTCCCTATAAAGTACCAATCAAAATTTCCTGTTCGATGTCATTATATTGCAGAGGCCAAGGGACAAAAAAATCTAATTTCAAAACAGATCATATCTATTAGCAGATACTATTGGGTCTATAGTCAAGAAAACAGCCACTTCCTATCCTCTGATTTACATGTTTAATAGAATCAAATACTTTTAACAGCTCATTACTTCTTCATATTTTATGAAAACAAAACAATTTAACATCTTAGCTTGTTATTTAAAATATTGAGTAGACAACTGTTTAATACTTAAATAGCTACATTTCCAAGACTATACACTTACCCAAATAGCAACATTTTTAGTTTGGCAAACAGCTCCAGATTGTGGCAACGCAACGCCACCAAGTACTGCGTTAACTTTACCAACTGTAATACATGATAGCTATCCAAGTGTTTGTGCAGAACAGAAGCCATTCTGAATACAAAGAGAAAAAGATGACATGGTATTATGCTAATACAGAAGATACTGCAAAACCCAACATCCCACATGAAGAAGGGGTGTCCCATGGGGCACAGCACCTAGGTGGAGGGTTGCACACAATGCACTCCTCTCCACCCCAGTTTTGACAGTGTTCCACTAAGACACAGCAGCCTCTCTCCACTTAGTGAATTGCAAAATTAAAGGCCTCATCACAGCAAAACAGCTACTTCACTCTAATAATTTCTGTTGCAGATTTTACAATCAGTTACACTTAGAGTAGACCAAGAACGGGATAAACTAGAACAGCTTCAGCACCACTGTACTCACTTATATAATAGTGGTTGCTACAGCTATGTTGGTCTAAAGCTGCAAGAGGGGGCTAGATTTGTAGGGGAAGAAAATGCCTTAAGAACTTCTTTAGACAGTGAGATTCAAGGAGAAAAACATGAATTCACCTGGTCTTCCCTTTAATACCACTCCGTTCCACAGTACTACTTATCCTTTTTCTTCCAAGGATCTATTTGGTTCATACAACGACATTCAATCCAGTTCTTGCTCACAACCTGCATTTAACTCTGCTGCATCTGTGACATATCTGATGCTACATCATCTGCGCCCAAAACCTCAACTGCTTTTCCCTTCCTTGTATAAAAGATATTACCTCTCCCTATAACCAACGTTCAGTTTACAACCGCAGAAAATCTGGCCCAGGTTCTTAAAGATGCAAGATTTAATAGTTTCAAGTAGGGCACGATGACTTGTGAAGAAACAATTCACATCAGGAACAGGATCTCCTAGATAGGACACATTCTCTGCAACTTACTATATTCTCATTTGTCTTACCAGTTTACAGTAATTGAGAGAGGCTAAGTTTACTCAAATAGGATCACATATTTGTAAATAAGCCAAAAATTATATTACATTAACTTGGTAGGGTTGAAATGCCCTTCTATGAAATTGCTAAATTGCCTCAATTACTTCCGGGTCAAGCTGTGATATTCTAAAATCTGTAATAGCTAATTATATATACTGTATATGCATTTGTGTGCAAGTGACACACTCTCCACTCCCAACTTACTGGATATTATATAGTTTTCCATACTACATGGAAGTAGTTTACCTAGAGAATACAACTTCTTAGTAGTATCAAAAAAATTACTTTTTGAGTAGATGAGAATTTCTGCATTTCATTTTCTGCATCGTCTTCAGTATTACCAACACTTGCTGACTGCTGAATTCTTCTGCCATCTGCACTCCAGTTAATAGCAACCTAAAGAGGAAAAGAAAAGATGTATTTTCCAAAGAAAAACAGTCTAAAATCTCCAGCAAATATTACAGCCATTTTCTTTGTCTAGGAGGGAAAGAACCAAGAGACTACTTCAGGAAATACAGGAAAACAAATTCCCCCAAACTAGAGACCTTTGTTCTGTGGGCCCTTCTTCTAGGCAGTTGATCTGTATGACACAAATTGAGAGATGTGAGTGTGTTCAATCAGTACATATTGCTCTGATGCTAGAAACCAGCGAGTCCAGCAATTCTGAAAGTAGACAAGAAGTAAGGAAGGTACTCTAAGACACTAAACAATTCACGATCAATCAGCAAGCTACAGATAACAGACTCAAACATGCATTGAACTGGTTCTGGGGCATATAAAGCCAATGATTTTTTCTACCTCACACTGATTTTTACCAAAAATAATTTTTTTTTTTTTTTTTAATCTAGGAAAAGCTTTTGGAACTGTCAGCTATGGCAAAACCAACACAGGCTTGCAGTATATCCAGTTCTCTGAATAGAGGCAAACATTCATGAAAAGTCTGAAAATATGGCTAATTGTAATTAATACAGCAAATTCTGCCTAAAACCGCAGACTTTGAGAGACCCATGACTAATACCACCCCCAAATAGGATTCTGTAGCACAAGAAAAACAGGCAGAGAAAAATCTGCCACACAATACTATGCTCTAATTGCTAAAGAAATGCCGAAGCGTTCCCTGCTGATGACCTTTCATATAGAATAGGATGTACAACAAACTGGGATAGGACAAGACTCAAGCTGTTTCAGCTATTGCCAGTCTTAAAAAGGAAAAAGCAATACATACCACTGCATGTATTTCTCAGAGGAAAGACAGAAAGTTTTTCACTACCATCCACTGTGAAAGGAAGGCTGTGGTCTAAGAGACAGAGCTACAAGATGGCCTTGCATAACAGCACTCACATACCCTTTGATTATTGGATCCGGCTTTCTATGCAACTGTTTTAAGACAAACTGGTATGACAGTGTTTCCACAATGAAATAATACATTGCTACAAAGTTACAACTAGGAAACCTCATGCTCAGCTCACAGATGGGCTCAGAAATTCCTCCAACCACTGGTACATATTTAATTTCTGTGCAAGACTACGTGTATATCATAAATAAGACAAAATTGTTAACAAACTTACCTTTCTCTTATCTTGGATCCTGCCATAGGCCCAAGGCTAAAAAATAATTTTGCGAAGGTTTCAGGATCATAATAATCAGCTATAGTTTCAGACAGCAGCTGTTTAGCAACCAAGCGGAATTCAGCATTGTCAAAACCCAGCTGCTCATACAGTCCAAAAATAAGACTAATACTGTGTATATCAAGACGGGAGGCACTTTTAAGGAAAATCTTGTTGCATTTTTCTAGCAATGGATGATATCTCAGTTTAACATTTTGAAGAAACTGTAGTACTCTTTTGGCATAGTTGAAGTGGACTTCATCCTTTTCTTCCAAGAGCTGTCCAGCCTTGTGTAGTAATCGATCTCGAAAACTCTGTGAGATAACATCAGATATGCTGATCATCAAAACTGACAAGACCCTAAAAAATTCAAAAGATTTTACACTTACACATTGAACATGATAAGTAATAAATTTTAGATTTCTAAAATAAACTGCACAAAGAAAGGAACATTAGTCAGGGTGTTACTGGCTTCTGCATAAAAAGGAATTTTAAATCTAACACAAAAAAAAACAGATGAGCAAAAACCATTTCTCCTACTAAAGTCAAAATTCTGCTTTCAGTGAATTTCTGGAACGGTTGGGCTTTTTCAACCATCCCCTATAAAGTTGTATGCAATGAAAGCGTTTGCCTAAGGCAAGACCCTGACTTGCCTGATTCAAATTTGCAAAAAGATTTTGAACGTTCAATGGAAACTAAAGAAACCCAAACTATTCTCAAGTGACAGAATGGGGAAAAGAGTCTTTGTCACTCCTAAAGAAAGAATCCCTTCCTAAGGGAATAAAACTTATGACCACAGGGAGAGTCATTTCTGTAAAGAAATGCAGCCCCATTCAAAGAGTGTCATAAGCAGGCTCCTCACATCCAAAAAAACAAGTGTTGGGACTGCTGGTGCTGTATAAAGCAGAAAAAAGGAAGAGCTGCCTTTGCTATAATGGCCCAGGGGGAACAGAGGCAAGAAAAAGAAGCTTGGACTTCTTTGACTAGGGCCAGGTTTAAGTAATTTTAATATTAGGTTAATGCACTAGACATGCTAGCAAGAGAACTGATTAATTCAACTTGACAAAAAAAAATGCTCTGAAGATAAATAAAAATAACATTACTTTAAGACTCCTTATTGCTATTCACAACAGTAAACTAAATTCATATCATACTAGTGAAACTATCAATGTCAAGGAAGAAAAACATCTTCTGGTGATGAGTCAATAGCCTCTAAATTCTCAAAAAAGTCCATGTAAAATTTAGAATCAGGATAAAGCAGTATCTGTTTTATATATTAAGTGTTTAATTTTATTATGAAGTTTATTTAAATTATTTATTATTTATATAAATTTATTTTAATTATTTAAATTTATTGTTAAATTTATTATTAATTTTATATATTAACTGTTTAAATTGGTTATAAAGAAATTCTTCACAAAATCATTGGGAAAATGACTTCACCTAAGCAGACCTGTCCATGAAAACCAATGCATGAATACAAATCACCTCTTTCCCACAAATCCCAAACTGAAGAAAGGCAACCTCCAGTTGAGAAAAAGGGAAAGTGTTCAACAAAGGCCGTCCAGTAATTGCGACATATTGCTTCTCCTGCTACTCAAATTCATTCTGACACCTACCTTATATCCTGTATAGAATCCAGTTTCATGTCCACAATATGAGCTACTTTGCCAATTACGGGACTGCAATGTCTGCGTTGCTTGTATAAGCACAGTGCAAATTTAGACAGAGCTGGCAAACTAAGGCTGTCAAGACAAAGACAGACAGACAGAATATTTACCTTTTATTTCTAGTGAATAACTAAAACCAAAACTCCACTTCAACAATTATATAAAAGACAAGGTTATATTCAAATTACAAAACAAGGAAACAAAATATCTAAGCATTTTCTATTTGGTCACCTGCAGTGATACCTTGGACTTCGCCAAAACACCTAGGTATTTCATATTAAAGCACGTTGTGCACGTGGAGCTCTACAAAAAGCAGTTGTTCTTCATTTAACCAGACCAGCATAAGAAACCTATGAAGATTACATTCTCAAGCAATGATGTGAAATAGCTAAAATGAATGTGAGCAATTTACCACCTGAATGTCATTTTGTGTTCAAGCTACACTGAATTTATTTACTTGTCAAGATGCACCAGGTAGTAAGCTGGGAGAGACAATTCTATGATGCTGGTGCCAAGACTGATACTAGCTTCTGCCATTAACCTGAGATTAAAGGATGAAAATTACAATATCAAAAAAAAAAATTCAAAACAACCCAACAAAAAACAACAACAACCTGCACAAAGGGAAAATGTTGATGTTTTAATACAAAAGGTCTTTACTAAAATTGAGATGAGCAGGGTTCTAACAACCATTTAAGAGCTAGACAGCAAGCACTAAGATAAAACCATAAATATTAAAACCTGCAATTTACTTCAAACACATAAATCTACATAGACAATATATTCCAAAATCTTAAGTGTCAGTCCCCGTTGTTGCAGTATCTGAATCTCTCAAGCATTTGTGTACGTCAATACTCAAAGCCTCCACATGTATAAAGATAATTTCCAAAACCTTCAAAAATACAACTGACATTTAAAATACTCACATGATGTTTAAAACATCTCATAAATACTCTTTGAGAACCCTGTGTAGCCTCACGTGAACCAAATCACACTTGCAACTTATACCTTTCACAAAGCATAATAGTACAGTACTTGCCTTTCTAATCTTTTCCATGCTTCTGTAACAAGCACTTCTGCTAGAGAATTGTGGTCTTCAACATTGAGCCTTCAGAAGAAAGACATAATAGTTTGAAGTTTGCTTCAAAAGTTATAAAGAAATAAGACATATATCCTTTCATTATTTATCATAATGTTTTACTTTTCTGTCGCTCCCTCCACTCAAACAGATCATAAACATTTGTGCATTAATAATCATAACTCCATTTACTGGGAGTGCAAAACAGATCAGTTCTGCCTGCCCCTCAAAAACTGAGGCACAGGACGTTAAGTTGTCTGTTTCACACAGTCAGAGTATGGAAGCTGGAACAGGGCAGTCTCCCAATCTCCTTATAAGATGGCTTTGTAGTCAAAATTCCATCTCTTTTTACCACCAAATACAAAATGTATAGATGTGGAATTCCACATAATGCTGCTTACCTCAGAATACTATATAGGGTGTCCACTATGGCCTCATCTTCCATGTGTTCCACCTTGTTTTCTGCTAAAATGCAAAGGGTAAGAAACTGGGAGTGATTTCTTATATAGTCAGTAGTCCTTAAGAGAAGAGGCCTCTTCTTTTGCAATTGCCACAGCATGTTCAATGCAATTCCCACATGTTTTTCAGAAAGCCTGGACTTGTTTCTTCCAACAAGGCTGAACACTTCATCTTCATGGGTGCAGCTATTTATCTGGCTCAAAAGCAGATCACTACTCAGAGTCCGAGCTTGGTAATATCTCTGTGTAAACAAGCAAACCTGCCTCAAACAAAGCATTTTGCTGTGCCTACCAGCTATCTTTAAAGTGTCCAGAAAGATTCTTCTTTCACTTTTCACAGTAAACCACGTTGATACGAAGAACAAACTCAAGTATTTGAAAAACAGAAGATCATTTTTCTTTCATCCTGTAGGGTCACTGTATTAAGAAGAATTCAATTCTGAGGTACCTGTAATGAGATAGAATTAAAGCAGTTAAGTACAGTCATAACTACTAGATAAAAATCAATGTCTCTACCTTTTAATGTTCTGAGTAAGGTAAGCTTGAGAAGAACCTACAGCCTGTATTCTTCTCAGAGAAGCTCCCAACAATGAACACTGACATGCTCACAAGCACTAAGAAAAGTTAGCTCACTTGGTAAGTTTTCAAATTTAGAAACCTGCCTTTAAAAGGCATGTGTGCTATCATGCTACTACCGAGAAGGCAAAGCCAAGCTTTTTAACGTGCAGGCGCTGCATGACTACATCAAGTGAGGCTTGCTCTCAGTAGGCCACTCCATAATCCCAAACTGGGGTCCAGGAACTGCCAGAAAACACAATTATTGGTGGTAAAAGGAAGTGAGATGGCAAGAGCTCCTGAGCTGGCATCACTGGATTTCTCTGGCTGTACATATGCATCCATCCCGCAGTCCTATCTATGGTACCCTGTCTATGAGCCTCTCCCAGAGTTTCCTTTCCACTCTGCTCTCTTTAGTATGTGGTCTATGTCTTATAAACACATGAAGATTTTGGTATACGGCTTCTAGTCAGGAAGATTGACCACCTTTGTAATATAGGATACTGATCAGTCACAATACAATCAGCTGATATCACCCACTGCACAAAAGAAAAGCAACCTAATTCCCCAAATTATAGTGGAAGCTACAGCCTTATCTATTGAAATTTGGTAAGTATTAATTTGTTTTCTTAATATATCCCCCAATTTGTACACAGTGCTAACAGCTATCTATTCTACAACCTACAAAATCGGTTCCAAGCTGTGGAACACAAACCGCTGGTAGTAAATGCTGTGGCACACCAAAAAGACCCATCAAATTCTCTTAACTTAGAGATCACGGAAAAGTCTAGAAGTCTTGCTTTAGGAGACATAATCATTAACAACAAAAATTATCAACGTACCATACTTCCCGTAAACTTGAATGCTCTTCAACTATAGGCATGACTCCGTCAGTGTAACATTACCAAGGCGATGGCAGCAGCACGCACTAGGTCTAGTGAGAAAGAAAAAACCTCACTTTTACTCTTCTGATTCTCTCCCCCATCGGGGTGGGGGGAGTGAGAGAGCAGCTGCGTGGTGCTTAGTTGCTGGCTAGGGTTAAACCATAACACTTTCTTATTTGAGCAGTCTATGTAAGGTACTGAAATCATTCCACAAAATTGGATATAGCTGGATTTCTTTTGATGTCTGCACAATCAGCTTCAGAGAATAAAAAGTCATACAACATACTGTACTACACTGCTGTTGCTGACACTGGGGCAGATACAAGGAAAGCTAAAAGGAATTCATTTTAATTTATGATCTGTTATAATATGAAATGTTTTCTTCCCTATGCAAAATGAAACCATACAAAAATAAAACGTACAAATTTTCCAGATATTATGTATTAAGTACCTTTTATAATAACATTTTGCTTTATAGTCTGTTTTCAGAGATTGCTTTTATTGCTTCTCTTTGTTCCATACGACAGTTGTCTTTACAAAGAATTTATTCCACTTTATCACTGAGAAAAGTTGTGTGACACTATTTATTCCATGTAATCTCCATAAAAAGTATTTTGGGGTTTTCCCTCTTAGTATGCAGCCACATGCTTTTAGAAGTAGCTGGGACTTCTAATGAGATTTTATAATGTGTATTAAATAAGCTAAAATACAGATCAAAGGTAGGTCAAGCCACTGTTAAATCACAATCTAGTAATCTTCCACAAAGTCTCAAGTACCACATTTACCAGACCATTTGACAATTTTTTTACCCCACAGATTTTCCAGTTAATTACAAATACTTTTTCTGTTCCCTTTCACCATGGAGATGCATGTAGATGGAGCAAATCAGATACAGTGACAATAATCAAAAGCAGAAGTGATTGACTGTTCCACCAACAGGTCCTAAGCAGAAGTCGCAATACAGAGTTATCAGAATTATTGAACTATACAAACTACCTAGTTTAAAGAAAGGAAAAAAGCATTTCCCCTCTAATGACATGATAGTAAAGTACAGCTTGAAAACCAGCACAAATTTTTAACCTTTTTGTATGACCATGTTCAGAGTCCTAGCTGCAAATGAAGTTTTTTTTTCCTAATCCTGTTTTAGAGAACTAAGACAGCATCAGACAAATACTTTTAAGAGAATACTGATATATTTAAACTTGATTTTAAGATTTCATGTACTGTATTATAGAACATTAAGCAAAGGCTTTTTATTAGTGTATTTTTGCCTTGCTTACTGTACCTCTCTTTTCATATGTCCATCCGATGGAAAAAATAGTTACAATATCAATTCACATTTACTCCCCACAGTACTGGCAAGCTAAGCTGCCAGAAGACAGGATGAAGCAGATACCTGAAGAGAATATAAAAACTTCAGACTCAAATAATTTCCTTGCAAGCCCAGGTAACACGTCCTTTCCCCTTCCCGTGCTGCAGTGGACCTCGCACCCCCTATCCTAGTGACTGGGAACCAGGATCTCTAGCTAAAACAGTCTGCAGGAAGTTTCCAAATAGTTCTCTTTCTGGAAGGTGTTTAGCAGATGCAAGTGATTTAACCACTTAACCCATATGCAATTTTAAATTGTAATTAATTCTAATATCTTATAAAGAGGAAATCAATAGGAAACGTTGGATGTTTTGAAACTTACAAATAAATAGATTAAAAACAGGAAATTTGTATCTACTTAATAACTATTTCTAAAGTGCTGTACTTAGCATGAAAAAACCACAGTAAAAGGACAATAAAGGCTTTAAAATCACTTCCTATCAGTTGAAACACAGTAAGCATTCTCAGGGCTGGATGACAAACTACGGTGAGCCAGGAAGCCTTCCACAAAGGACAAAATGCGGACACCCACCACTCCCCAAGCATAAAAAGTATTAAAGTAACTAAGAGAGCTGCTTGTGCGGTACAGGGTGTTTTTCACCCGCCGGCCAGAGTCACCTCGGTTTCGGTGAGCCACGCCGTGGGCAGCACACCACCGCTGTCACGGGGGT